GGGGGGGGGGGGGAGAAGAGTTGACCAAGACCCCATGAAATGCTATATGGGTTCTGGATCAGCTAAAGAAACCAGAGCCCTAGCTGATCGGCTAGGAAGCTGTATTACAATCCTCAGCGGATGGCTTTCTCTGTTCCTCTTTTCCTTCCCTTTTATTCCAATAATTTGCAATCTAGAGAGCTTGGATGACCTCCCTCTGTTTACATTCACTGCTTATCCCACCTGAGCATCAGCTGAAGCCTCCGGAAAGCAACATGCACAGCGTGCCCGTATTATGAGACCACTAGCAATTGTGACATCCTGCTAACGACAAGCAAGATGGAAGAACCAATCCATGAGGAATGAAGTCTTCTATTTGTGTTTAAGATAGTCAGAAAGAGAATAGCAAGATCAGACGTTTGAGGGAGGGAATAATTTATGTCCCTGAGTCTTACAAATATCTCAGCTAAGTAAAAACCATTTCTCTAAGATAACCTTGATGCCTGAAGAAAGAGCTTAAGAACACTTTCACGGAATGATCTGGCTTGAGGGACTAAATTCTGTGATAGTGTCCTGGTTTTGAGACATAACTGGAATTGGGGCAGGTCAAGACACCTAAACAAGAGATAGTACAAAACAGAAAACATCGCCCATGTTGTGTCAAAAATAACAGTCCACAATATTTCCAGCTGAAGAGAGACTCCAAGGAAAGGAGAGGTTAGCTCAAGATCCTGTGGTATGGAAGCTCAATCCTAAAGTGATGTGGATGCCACTGGTGGTTTAACTGGGAATGGCCAAGCAGTATCGTTTGTGGTGATACAACAGTGTGCTCAGCTTCTTTTCCACATTACATGCCACATGTGCTTCTGGGCCTGCTTAAGTTGGCCAAATCCAGGAGATCATTAACACATCTGCTTGTCTGAACATAATACTGTCATGACATCGCTCATGTTAATAGGCATTGCAGGTATAACCATGCCAACACTCAGTTTGACTAGTAGGGCTTTTTAAAAGACTATTTTACAGATACTCCTGCACTGAATATCCGTATTTTTGATACTGTACATTAATAAATTAAACAATATTATTAAACCTGTGCATTCAATCCTAGATACGGTAGTGCTTCTGTTCACTGTGATTTGAAAGTGATAAAGTATTAAGTCCTTTGTAATATTCCCCAGAAACACACTCCAAACATCTACGTATTAGCGGTGTCAAGGAATAAAATCAGGCTGAGACAGAGGTTACTCCTGGGGATTGTCATGTCAAAGACAAACTCTGACGCCAATCTGACCTAGTATTTTAACGAGTAACACACAAAAGGTAAAGCTACATTGATGAAATCTGTCGACTGACAGCTCAAAGTTGAGAAACCCTGCCAAGACAGGAGGACTGGACTAACCTATAGAAAAGATCACATGGGTTTGATGAATAAAAGATATAGAAAAACTTCAGTGAAAGAAGTGGCAGGTCATGTGCTTGGAGACTAATAAAAATTTCTGCATGCAACTAGGAGTTTTAACAGTTGGAAATGAGGAGAAAATTCTGTGCATAACAACTGACCACATGGTGATTCTAATGCAACCATGAAACAGGCAAACGTCACTTTAGGATGAAAAAATGATCACAATGGAAGTGATGAGACTGTATTGATCGCCTGTTCCAATACTGTTACCCAAAAAGCAGATTTGTGCCTGGCGTGCAATAAACCAGCCTTGACACACTCAGAAGAGATACTGTATTTACTGAGGCCTGGGTACCTGGTGGGCTTTTCCACAAATCAAGCACACCAACAGTAGGTTTTCATGCTCCTTTTATACATAAAAATTGGAAGTTAGTATTTTTCCATAACACGCCTATTAGATACTGATTGGTTAGCTACTAACATACAATTATAATATGGCTTACCCAATGCTTCTAATACGGTGCATGCTCAGGGGAAGGGTCTTAACCTGGACAGGGGTCTTTTTGACCTGTGGGTGTATTTTTTAGTATTATAATGAAGGTAGTTCACTTTCAGGACACTCAAATGTTGGTTTCGTTGCCAAGTGAACTGATCTATTATTCACTTTGTCAGGTTGTCAAATAACTCATTCTCAACACAATTCTATACATTGTCTTTACAGTCCAGGACATTCTCAATATTTTCTAAGGTATGGAGAACAAAGCCTATTCTTTATAAATTTCAATGTCTCACCTGACCAATCTTAAAATTATCCCCAGGTGCGCATTAACTATAGCTACTAGCATAATCATTAACCATGAAATTTAGTAAATATTAAGTATACTTTATCAATAACTCTATAAGACCCTACTTAAGACTATTTCTGACATACTGTGCAAAGCAGGAGTTTCTAATTTTCAAGAAAGGTAAATTCAAACTGAATGGGCATAGAAAAATTGCGCAGAAAACTACAGATCCTGTCTTACACGTGTCAACAGAAAGTTGACTGCCTCGGCTGGAAAAATTTACAAATACAACAGACAGGTGAAAACCACTGCAGGAAAATAACCATAACCATCAGCATAACTGGCTGGGACTGCAGGTGAGACAGAACTCAGGAAGGATGATTATGAAAGGGGAAACAAATGCAGGAGACATTTGTTGTTCATATGACAGAGCTCAGACAGTTTACAAATGAGGTATGCCGTATGCTTGTGAGCACATCACACCAGACACAGTATGCTAGAGATCCCCCTTAATTCAGTACATACCCACAAGAGATCAACAGATCGAAGGCCTTGAAAGCAAATCCACCAGGCCCACCCAGAAAACTAAGGTTTCTACATTAATAAAAACCATTATTAATATTTCACCCTTAGGACTATGACCCTAGAATAGGCCACCAGTCTACTGAGGTTCTCCCTGAGATGACAAGTTGTAGGAGCATTTTGTAAAAGGTACAATTCACCAACATTCAGACTCTTTCAGAATTGGTAAGGGAAATGGGCATCATACCACTGGAGAGCAGCACACTTGCTAAGAAGGGTCGTGGTAAAGGGCATTGGCAAGTCAGTTTTTCAACCTTTTAGATCTTCCTGACCCTCAAAATAGCACAACCATTCCCCCACATCCCATCCTGTTTTCCTACGATTAAGTGGGAGTGGCAATCCTTTTCAATTCCATAAATTAAATCCTGCTTGAAATGGGTTTCATAACAAATGCCTGTTATAAAAAGTGAAACTGAAACGTTATTAGACATGGAAATGAAAAGCAAAGAAAACTTAATTATCACGTGAAAATTAGTGTTTTTCCTGACAATTTATTTTCCTTAGGCAAGAGTTTGCATGATGTTTAATTTCCATAATAAAATGTCACAGCTGATTCATTATTTTACATTTGATTAGTATTTATCACATTTTTGGCGCATTCATAGATTGGTTTTGGACCAAAGCCAGAGTAGTTTTCTTTCAGAGTATTAGTGAAGCGACTGGACAGAGAAACAGCATTTCTGACTGTAGGGGAGTTATATCATTTTGAGACAAGTTATTTCATAGCAGGTTTGGTTTAGGTTTGGAGGTTGTTGGGGTTTTTTTTAAACTTTTGATTGTGTTTCAATGTCCACTTGAATAAATTAAACCAAAGAAAGCATTCTCTTAAATACGAGGATTATCTGTTAGTATTATGCAGCAAATACTACAGGCTCTATAATCCACTGGCATTTTTTCAAAACCAAACTTTATTGCTTAGACAAGCCCAACTACCCATCTTACTCATGAGCCACACAACTACAACAGAAAGTTCCCTACTAGTACTTCAGGAAATTGTTACTACACAGGCCTCCTTGCCTGACATACTCAAGACATACTCCAAGAGTAGCCAGCTGAAATGGGAAGGAGGGGGGTGGTGAAGCACTCCCTGGGTTTTTTTGAGATCCTGACACAATTTTACTCTAGTCTTCAACTGGATGACTTAAAAGCATTTTTGCTGCTGACAGCCAACATACCTGACTCTTAATCCAATCTGAAACAGACTTCTCATAGCTCATGAAAAGTTCATACAATCAGAGGAATCCATCAGTGTAATACTGCTTATGTGTAAGATGCTCTCAACTCCAAAAGGTGGAGCTCGGATGATCTGAGGAAGTCCAGTCTCAACCTAAGCCCTCACGGCAACAGGAACACACACAAATGATGAACTGAGAGTAACATTTTGTTCATTATTTCACTGTTCCCACTCCCTAAATCACTCAGTGCTTCCCATGTGATAAAAAAACCTCAAGGGAAATGTATCAGTAACTCTCCAGGGAAAATCTGCATATTATTT